GACACTTCAGTGTGCCTATTGCGCTCTCAGAAGCCTCCATTTAGAGCCTCCTCTAACACACAATAGTTTGAATTTGCCAGCATCAGATCAACCCTGTAAGTATCATCTGTCACACTCGGTATTTGTAAAAGAGTGAGATATCAGGGAACTGCAACATTAAGAAGGACAAATTACAATTTTCTTCATCTGATAGTTCATTTGCTATTCTGTTCTCTGTTGCATTTGATACTTCATTTCATAATGGAATTAAATCACCAGCCTTTTCCAAAATAAGAAGTTCATGTACCTTTCAAAACACTGGTCATTGGTACCAGAATAAAAAACCTTTTTATACCAAATTCCCATTTTGTCACTATTTTTTAATTTCATACAATGATGTAGTCTCGCATACCTCTAAATAGTAGCAGAAAAAGAAAGAAGTAGGAGGAATTTTCAGTATACTTCAGAATCCTGTCTCTCTTAGGACATACTTTCTGAATGACCCTCAAAGTAATCAAGATATGACAAGTGATTAACATTGAGAGCATCTGTAGTTATGAAGATTGCATGACATGAAATCTTCTAAAAAGGTATTTTCTAATTGAGTGAATTAAATTAACTCAAATTATAAGAAAAGCTAATTCTCTGAGCACTAAAACTAATGAAGTCAATATCCAACCAACATGGGGCTTGTTGCGGATCAGAATTCTAACTGAATTCATCCGAAAATGGTACTACAGTTTCTTCTCTTACTAGAAGTCTAAAATACATATTCACTTTACAGAAAACAGCTTGGTAAAAGCTACAATGTCTTTTATTTGTCATAGAAATTCTGCTGTTCAGCCATAACTTCTCCTTTAGCAAAGTAGATGCTTTATGATTCCAATATGTTTGCATTTAAAGAATTTGAAACAGTTTTCTAACAGCCTGGATTTTCTGCTGCCTAGAAATTACTACGGCCAGTCGCCTTTCTTTCTTGTTTTCTCACTTTTTTTTTTTAATTTCTGCAGAGCCATTAGCTGAGTGTCTTGTCAGCCAATTATCCTTACCCTTTATGCAGGACTTAGTATCTTTGAGCTCTCTGCTTTTTTTGTAAAAAATGGTATCAATCTGTTCAAAAAATTCCAATAAGCAGTTTGAAATATGCACACACACAGAGTGTGATTTCTTAAAACTCATTCCCTTGGGAAAGCAGACTAATCTTATGCAACTATAAAGCATTTTTCATGTAATTGAACAATGGAGTTGGACTGCTTTGTTTTCAGATTTCCACATTTTCCTACTCCAAACTAAAGAAAGAAAAATGTCCCTGGCCTGATAATCAGGAAAGGTCTTGTTAAGTTTTGCCTATGGTTCACATAACTCTTTTATAGTTATCAGTAGAATGTCAAAGATGAGGAATCTGTTGAATTTATTATTGAATCTAAGAAGTGCACAGAAGTGATGAAATATTTCCAACAGTCAATAGAGCAGCAGTTGCAAGCAGAGAAAAGGAAGCTAAATCTGCCCACTGCATACTGAGACGGAATTAGGTATGCCTTTATGTGTTCATTTATTATTAAAATTTTTATTTATTTTACTGGTCTTTAATAGGATCTCTGAAGCACAAAGCAACTCCAAAAGCAATCAGCAAAACGTGGTCCACTTCTCATGACCACCTTTTTGTACCTCAACCTTATATCTGGCCTTTGTAGGAGGCTCCTTCCCCATAAGTATTTCAAACACACCCGTGCTATGCAGCACTGCAATAGGACATTTGATTGAGCTGCAGATTGTCCTCCACAGCCCTGCAGGCATGAGAGCTCGGGGCTCTTCTGGCAATGCTGAGCCGGGAGGAGGGGTGAGCAGCACAATTTTTCTGCCCAGGTCCTGCTGTCTTGCCAAGAAGGCGCTACTAGGTAAAAAAAAGATGTGACCTTGGCCAGTTTTTACCTAGGAGGGGAGAAGGGGGAAGAGGCCTTTTCCTACCCACCCTTCACTGTCAGGAATTGCCTGAGGGATGACATCTATTCCATTTAGGTATGTTTTAAAAATTTCAGTCATGCATTTCTTGACTTTTATTTGTGAAGTGTAAGACACCTAGAAGTGTTATGTATAATATCTCAGCTAAGCAGTTGCCTTACCTTATCTTTGTCACATATATCTCAGTTTATCTACAGAAAGATATTAGTCTTATGTTCTCATTTCATTTGACCCCAAGGGGTGGGTGGCATTCATTTTTATTTTATGTTTTGTCTTGTTGAGTTCCTGCAGATATTCATCTCTCCTTAAGTGTTCATGGCTATAGCTGCAGTAGGAGGCATTTGCAAATGCCAGTGGATTTGCAGGAAGCCCAAAGGAGACAATTATGTACCTTGTGTAAAAAAAGAGGTAAAAAACACCAGGGCTGCGCAGCTGCAGGGAGCAGAATGCAGAAATGTGGAATGGCTGCACTAGCTCAGGCTGCTGGTGCTAATATTGATTCACTGCTCTGCTGCTGCCACTGCAGCAGGTGGTAAATGCTTGTTCTGCTCCTCAGTGTCAACACTCTCTTCAGACAAACGAGGGCCACATCGGTCCTCGTGTCTTAAGCATAGAGCTTGCTTGTTTTTCATGCCCTAATCTCCAGTAACACCAGAAAGATGCAGAGAAAAATGGAAGTAGCAATCAATAAGCACCTCATCTCAAATAGGTTTATGTCAGTGCTACAGGAATAACAGGAGAACAACTTGGTTTCTATTCCTGACAAACAGTTCAAAAGGGTTTTGAAAAAAGAGGCATATCTTATTTTATTTTATTTTCCTGCATGTGGAGTGTTAAGGTAAAGAAAGTCCTCTGGGCTTTCTGGGCTTTGTTTTTTGTTTCAGGAAATAACTTTACTTTGTTTAATTCTGCGAGTTCCTGTGTTTGAGCTTGAGAGAAGTGCAGCCTTAAACTGACCCAAGTCTGACAATGCATTTTCTCATGTGTATATGCGTTTGTGTATACATAGCCATGCCCTCCACCTCTCCAAATATGTATGGCAGTATATGTATAACATATGGCAGCAAATACTGAAGGGCACAGAGTTATTTCCAGAATGTGTCTATATGACATGTCTATACGCGTAGAACGAATGCCTTGGGACTCCAGAAGGAGGATAGGCATTTTCTAACCTAAGGCTACTTGGTGTAGTAAATTAACTAGTGTAAGTTTTCAAAATTTTAGCAAAATTGCCATTTATGGCTAAAGTTCGCTGCATACCTATAATTCTATAGGAAAGGAATATAAGAGCTGCAGAATTTCATGAACAGGATTTCCATTCCATTAGGTCTCTATTTATAAATAAATGCGGTTGTGACATCTGTAGAAATTGGAAGATGTACATCCTCTAGAGCAAGGGCATGTGCCTATCCCAGACCAGATTTTGCTTTTTCCATGGGGCACGCCTACCTTTTAAAACACAGGTTTCATTGCACCTCCAGCAAACATGAGTAATTGTCGTTATCCATGATACTTCATTCCCAGAGACTCTACGTGGAGCCGGGCTGAGTGGTGCTGCACGGGGAGACGGGGCTCTCGGCAGGCAGTGCCTGGGGAGAGGAGAGCAGCGGGGAGATGAGCGTGGCCGCTGCAGGCCTGGCCGTGTCCCGTCTCCTCGCGGGCGGCGCAGACGGGCGCGCAGGCCCCGCGCCGG